GGAGATTTTCCTCCTTGCTTCATTAGTAGTGCGTGTGCCACCTACTACTAGACATTTACACATAGAACTACACCGTTCATTCCTTTTTCCGAACCCAAGGTTTTGTTTTCTAACCCTAGTGTTTGTCTTTTCCATATGCCTTTTATCATGCATACAATTCACATAACACATAGCACATAATCATGTAACAAAATTTAGCACATAACATGAAATGCACAATGAATGCAATGGTTTAAACCCATGTCCATCAAGTCCTAGGTAAATCGTATACCTATGCTCTGATACCAAGCTGTGACACCCCAAAATCCAGGGGTCTGTTGATTACCCATCAATCCGTGGAATACCCGTGGATACCGAGTAATTTGATATCATGCCATTGTGCCCCATTTATCGGGAATCATAATTTTGACGAAATTCGGGCAGAGTCTCCTTTGTATGAAAAACTCTATCCAAAACTCAACCTGTGTAATCATATAATAACAAGACTCATCCGAGGTCCAATATTCAACAATGACCACACCGAGTCCAATTATAAGTAAACATTGGCCACACCGGATCCAATTATCCATTTTTATATCAAAACATACAAGGTTAGTTTAACAATAGTCTATATCAGTTCTATTACAATTATTTGCAAAAGATTACATGCCCAAAACATTATTTCCACAAATGTTTTACATTAACACAAAATAAAGCCACAATCCGGCCTTCTTCAAACATGAGGATCCAAGTGAGGGCCTTCCACCAGTGTGTATCCAAAACTTGAAATATTTTCCCGAATAGGGTGAGCCACGCCCAGTGGAGTAATTCCTACAAAGGCTACTCCCCACCTAAGTGCACATGCAATGCTCACATACAATATTTCATATTCACATCAACATTCCAAATTAGAATATACATTCAATGTTGGAATTTATCATGTCATGCCATAAAATGAGATGAGACTCACTCATGCAAATCAACCCGAGCCCTTCCCAGCTCCTCACACATACAAGTGTCAATGTGTATGGAATCATCATTTATGTTGCACATCAAATGACTTTTACCAACCTAGGGTCTTTGTATGGGGTGAATGTTCATGGGCTTAAACCAAGGGTCTCCAACCTACTCGAAATTTATGGACTTCCACCAAGGGCTCCGCGTACGCCCACATACTTCATGGGCCAAGCCAAGGGAGTGCGTATCCCAATCACCGGGCCTTGCACCCGAGGGATCTTCTAGTCCCTCCTTGCTAACCCCAACCCTAATCACCATCCAACCTGTGCGACTTGGCCAAGTCTTCGATCAAGCTTAATGGAGTCTACTCATCATCCACTAAGTGTGGTGTTGACGACAACCATGCACACTCCCACATAATGCGATGTTACCGTGCATATGCAATATGATTTCTCATTGCACAATTATAACATATTCAATATGCTATGAAAGACATAGAAACAATAACAAGACATTTTACATATTCATGGCAAAATTATATCATAAGCATATAATTCTCATTATTCTCCACAATGTCAATATAACACAAGCATGTACATACATTAAAAATTTTCATAACAATTCCAAGCATGTTATCACAATTTTTATGCCAATAATACACTTAATCACAAAGATGCAATATAACACAAAATAGCCCACGTAATAGCCCACATAACAGCCCTTATATAAGCCACAAAACAGCCCCTATATAGGCCATAAAACAGTCCCAAATTCAGCCACAAAAATAGCCCCTAAACATGTCATAAAACAGTCTCAAATTCAGCCACAAAACAGCCCCTAAACATGCCATAAAATAGTCCCAAATTCGATTCAAAATACAACCACATAGCAGTCTATATTTTAACCCAAAATGGTCCATCATTTCAATCCCAAAACAGTCCATAGTTTCAGCCCCTAAATCGGCCCTAAAATAGCCCCAAAGGAGAGGAATAAAACCGAGGTAAGATGAACCCTAGCTCAATAGAAGTGTAGAGAACTTCTATAACACCAAAACAACCTCAAAACTTTGCTTTTCCCCAAAGTATCCTCTTGGATATTTGGTGAAACCCACTCTTTTTAGTACGTATGCGTAGCCCTCGTCGAGGAGATAAACTTTGATTCTTGGCTCGACGAATTCCGACCAACAGAACTCCGGGAATCTTGGATTGAAGCTTGAAGAATTTGAGTTTTTCTTCTCTTTTCTTTTCTCTCTATGGATGGCCAAACAAGACTCAAAATGAGGGTGAAAATATCTGATTTATCAGATATTTACCCCTAATTATACCCCCTTAATGTGTGGTCCAAATTGCACCGCATAATTCCGACTTCCGAGTCTGTTTTTCGTCCCGAAATGATTCGTTATACCTTGGATTTAGTTCAAATTAATTTTATTCGAAATTTAACTTAATTTTAAGAAATGTTAAACAAATTCATTGTTGGGGACCTTTAAAATGTCATTTGCCTCGCAGTCGCCTCGAACGACGTGTAAAAATTCGACTAGCTCAGAATTCGACAAAATTTGACAAGGTGGCTAGAGTTTGTGATTCGAATCCTACGAAGAACTCCGTTTTCTCATCTGAGGTCTAGAACATGAGTATTTTAAATACGCATTAGGATGAAAAATTACCATTCTTCCCTTTCTAAGAAAAATTTCAAATTTTCCCAGGTTTCACAAGCTCTGGGAAGACAAAAAAGAGACCAAGAACAAAAAGAGGCAGGACAGAGAGAGTAGCAGGTCTTTACGCCGCTCAATGCCTCAATTGAGCATATCCTGCTCCAAATTCAGAACGACCCTACGGTGCGCTAGCTAGAAAAAGTAAAATCTACCACAAACTGCAGGAACCCGAACAAGTATTGTCGCTTCCACCACGATTATGGCCAGTACACTTACGATTGCTTCGAACTCAAAAAAAAAATTGAGGACTTTATACAGCATGGCTAATTACGATAGTATGTGGTAAGAAAAGGCCACGCCCCACCACTTGATTGTATCCAAGAGAGAACACCAATAGTCTTTAGGATAAATTTATACCATCTCTGGACGGCTTGCAGGAGGAAATGACTCTAACTCAGCGAGGAAGACACATGTTAGAAAGGTTAGACACTCAAAGCTAGATGACCCATGTTTATTGAAGTCTCACAAGGAAGGGGATGACGAGGTCATCTCCTTCTTAAACAAAGACCTGCATGGAATCTAGCACCCCCACAACTACTCATTGGTACAAACCATGATGGTAGCCAATTACCAAGTAAGAAGGATTCTTGTGGATAGCTGTAGCTCTGCCGATATCCTCTTCGCAGAGGAGTGCGATAACCTCCATCTTGGCAGGGAGAGACTCCAACATATCAGGACGCCTCTTATTGGATTTTTAGGAGCAAATGTGTACTCCTAGGGCTCTATCACCCCACCAGTCATGCCCAGAAGCTCCACTATAATGGTAAACTTCTTAGCGCTCGACTATCCATCCACCTAGAACACCATCTGTGGGCATCCCGCATCCTACACCTTGAGGGTCATGCCATCCACTTACCACCTCATTCTTCATTTTTCAACCTTATGTGGAATTGGAGAAATTCGAGAAGACCAAGTTGCAGTAAGAGAGTTCTATATAGCTTCCATGAGGGCCAAAAAGCCTTAAGAGGTCTTATAAGTGGAAGTACTTGACCCTAGGGACTACAACACATTGGAGAGATGAGAACCAGTAGAGAAGCTCACACCAATAGTCTTGGACGAAAGTCTCCTAGAAAAAAAAGTCTATATTGGCTCCTCACTCCCTGAAGATCGATCTACCCAACTTGTTGATTTTTTGAAGTAGAATATAAGTGTATTTTTCTAGTCTCATGAAGACCTTGAAGGCATTGATCCTGAAGTTGCCACCCACAGGCTCAATATAGATCCTAAGTACAAGTCTGTTCGCCAAAAGTTGAGGAGCTTCGTTATAGAAAGGGCACAGGCCATGGAAAAAGAGGTAGGGAAGCTACTAGCAAATAGGTTAGTTAGAGAGGTGGCCTACCCAGTCTGGCTATCCCATGTGGTTATGATGACCAAAGTTAGTGAAAAATGGTGCCTCTACATGGATTTTATCAAGCTCAACAAAACGTGTTCTAAGGATAGTTACCCCTTACCACACATAAACATCCTCATCGATGCCACAGCCAAACATGAGCTCCTTATTTTCCTAGATGGCTACTCTGGATATAACCATATTAGCATGTACCCACTAGACCAGGAGAAGACATATTTCATCACTCCCGAGGGGACTTATTGCTATAGGATCATACCCTTCGGGCTAAAAAAATGAGGGAGCCATGTACATAGGGCTGGTGAACAAGATGTTTGAGTCACAGATCGGGAAAAATACAGAGGTGTACATGGACGACATGTTGATAAAGAGCTTGATGACAACAAACCATATAACACACCTGCAAGAAAACTTTGGTGTCCTAAGGTCTAACAAGATGAAATTGAATCTTAAGAAATGCGTCTTTGGCGTGGGATCAAGAAAATTCTTGGGCGTCATGGTTACCAAGAGGGGTATTGAGGCGAGCCTGGACAAGATCAAAGCCATCCTAGATATGAGGTCTCTCACCATTGTGAAAGAGGTCTAGTGCCTCAACGGAATGGTTGCAGCTCTCAATAGGTATGTCTCAAAATCAGCTGACAAGTGTCTGTCATTCTAAAAAAAATCCTTTGAAAGACTTTTGAGTGGGGACCAGACGCAGAAGAGGTTTTTCAAAAACTAAAAGCCTACCTTGCTACGTCCCCTTACTTTCCAATGCCATACCCAGAGAGGCCTTGTTCTTGTACATTGTTGTCCCACCATTTAAAGTGAGCTCTATCCTTGTCAGAGAAAGTGAAGGAATACAGATGCCTATCTATTTTGTGAGTAGGCTTATCAAGGAGCAAAGAGAAGGTACACAAGATAAGAGAACCTAGCAATCGCCCTAGTCACATCAGCTAGACATCTTCAACATTATTTTTAGTGCCACACTATTGTGGTTGTCACAGATTAACCATTGAACAGAATATTGGGAAAATTAGATATGTCCGAGAGATTACTCAAATGGGCTATCGAACTAGGCGAGTTTGACATACAATACCAAGCAAGAGTAGCTATTAAGGCACAGACAGTAACAGATTTTGTAACAGAGCTCACGGCACTCGAGGAAGAAGTAGCACCTTCACCAACACTAGGGCATGTGCCCGTCTTGCCTAACGTAGGGCGCCCAACCCTTGACTCACGTATGCCTAATGCCTCACTGAGACACCCAACTCCTCCCTCTACCCCACCAGGGCACCTAGATCATGCTTCTACCTCACCAGGGCACCTAAGCCTCCAGTGCCTTTGCCAACACCAGGGCCTGTGCCCACCTTGCCCAATGCAAGGTGCCCAACCCCTGCCTTACGCATGCCCAGCTCCTCCCTTTGCCTCACCAAGGCGCCTAACTCCTCATTCTACCTCACTAGGGCAACAAAGCCTCCAGCACCTCCACTTCACCAGGGCGCCCAGCTCCTTCTTCCACCTCAATAGGGTGCCCAAGCCTCCAACCCCTTCGCTAGTACCAGGGCCTGTGTTTGCCTCGCCCAACACAAGGAGCCCAGCCCTTGCCTAACGTATGCCCAGTGCCTCACTAGGGTGCCTAATTCCACCCTTCACCTTACTAGGGCACCTAACTTCTCCTTCCACCTCACAAGGGCACCCAAGCCTCCAACATCTCAAGCCCAACGTTGCCCAGTGCCCCATCTCCTACCCTCAATGCCCACTACGCCTCTCGTGCCCTACGCACCTTGGTGTCATCCCAGCTTACCTCGCGTCCCCACCTAGCTATAGACTCTATGTGGATGGTTCCTCAACCAATGAAGAAAGTGGAACATGCGTAGTACTCATTAGCCCCGACAAAACTCCCCTCAAATATTCCATATCTTTCCATTTTATGGCCTCTAACAACTAGGCAGAATATGATGCCCTCATCTCAAGCCTGAAGTTGGCAATCGAAATAGAGGCCCACTACCTCACAGTCTATAATGACTTCTAACTGGTAGTCAATCAGGTGAAATGAGACTTCAAGATTAGGGAGGAAGGACGTAAAAGTACCTAGAAATGTTGCAGGCTTTGTTGAAGAATTTCCACAATGTCCAAATTCAACATGAGCCAAGAGAAAGATAACATGATTATAGATGCACTTGCAAGGTTTGCCTCATCCTCAGACATCCCACCAAGCCCGACCTTTGCTGGTCACCAATTTGAGCCAAGAAAGCTCAAAACAAATATGGGTAATATGAATTGCACATCCATTGATGCCAACTGGATGATGCCCATCTGAGCATATCTAGAAGAAGGCACGTTCCCAGATGACCCAAGAAGCTAAGACTAAGGGCCTCAAAATTCATCACTCTGCAAGGCATCCTTTACATGAGGGGCAACTAATTGTTGTTGCTCTGCTGCCTTTCTCTAGAAGAATCTGACTATGCCATGAGGAAGATCTATAAGGGAGTATGTAGAAACCACTTTGGAGGGTGCTCTCTAGCTCACAATGCAGTCAAACAAGGCTACTACTAGCCTAATATGGTCAAGGATGATTGCAACTTCGTGAAAAAATAAGACAAGTGTCAGCGTTTTACCATTTTGAGAGGGCAGCCACCAGAGGAACTGACCACCACAACCAGTCCTTAGCCATTCTATAAGTGGGGTATCGATATCTTAGGCCCTTTGCCCATAAGACGTGACCAGTGCGAATTTGTCGTGGTGGCGATCGACTACTTCACAAAATGGGTGGAAATTTAGCCTTTGGCTATGATAACTAATAAGAAGGTAAAGGATTTTATCTGGAAGAACATGGTGTGTCTTTTTGGAGTGCCCCATGCCATGGTTAATGACAACACCAAGTAGTTTGACAACAAACTCCTCAATGATTTTTGCACTGACTTTCAAGTTAGGCAATCACACTCCAGTCCGACACACCCCTAGGCAAACAAACAAGCTGAAGTCACTGTCAAAACCATATTGCACAATCTGAAGGCTAGATTGGAGAGTGCCAAAGGACTATGGGTAGATGAGCTCTTGAGAGTGTTGTGGATAGACCGCACGATGCCTAGGAACCCCACTAGCGAGACTCCTTTCTCCCTCGCCTTTGGCACGAAGGTTGTCATAACTGTCAAAATTGGGGTATACTCACTAAGGGTCCAACACCATGACCTAAACAGCAATGAATAAGGCTTCCACATCAACCTCGAGATGATAGAGGAGTGGAGAGAGATGGCCACGATTAGAAATGTGGAATACAAGCATTGTTTGATCAAGTACTACAACTTGAGGGTGAAGCATCATTCCTCCTTACCTGGAGACTTAGTCCTCAAAAAGGTAATATTGGCCACTAAGGACTCACGAGAAGGGAAGCTAGTACCAAATTGGGAAGAACCCAACACTGTGACAAAGATTATGAAGCCAAACACTTATAGAATCCAGAATTCCAAAGGAAAAGTCTCGCCCCATCCATGGAATGCTGAACACCTGAAGCGGCATTACCAGTAGTACGAAATAGGAAAGGGTAGCAAATAAAGCAATAGGAGTTTGCTTGGGTCATCCAGATTCATACTTTTTAGGTATGATAGATTGTACTATTTATTATAAGCAGTTATCAAATAAAACTTTGCGGATTTATCAAAAAAATTGCATTGTTTTTTATTTCACAAAAATTTTAGAAAATCCTACAAAAGTCAAAGACGCTACCTTAAAAAAAAAAAGAAAAAAAAAAGAGGAAGCATAAAGGCAAAATCTATCAAGCATCCTCAACACTATGGCTACCTTCATTGCCATCATCCTCCTCGTTAGTCTCTAACCCTCTCTCATTAGAATCCTGGCCATCATCATTACCATCTGCGCCCGGCTCCTCATATAGGACAAATGCCGAAAAGAATATGTTGCAAAAATTCCCTGAAGGTTTACCCAAAAGTCCTCGTAACCATCAATAAAACCATCCATTGCACTATCATGTAGGTCATGGACAACCTTCTCTTTAGCCTCCCTCCTCATCTCCATCTCCTGAGAGTGAACCTTTACTCTAGGAGCCCTCTCATGAGCTACCCGTAGCTCTGCCTCAGCTCGATAGCCCTCTCATGAGTTGACCACAATTCTACCTCTGCTCTTGTGTAAGTAGCCTTAATCTCAACCTCCATCTTAGCCGCTCTCTCAGGAGTAGCCAAAATCTCGGCCTCAAGAGGTACAACTCTCTCATAAGCCACCCTTAACTTCTCTTTAGCAGCCCTCAGTGTTTGCCTCTCCCTTATCAGAGTCCTCAATACCTATTCATACTAGTTAGTCCTTGCAAAAAGACACATAGAAGTTGAGGAAACCTACAAACATACAAAAAGAGGAAAAATTCAGTGTCATCAAAGGATACGAGGAATAAAATTTCAAACAAAAGAAGTAAAGATGATTACCCTGACTAAGCCCTCCATTATGGTATCAATAATACCTTAGGTACCTTGATAGCTAACTTCTCTAATCTCCAAGGGCAACATGGACATTGAGAGTCAATCCTTAGTGATATTCACATCCTGAAGCATGGATACAGGACCACTACCGCACGTTGGAGAAGCAAGCGACACTCTAGTCTGTATGGAATAAGAAGTCCCTGTCTTTGAAGATGCCCTAACTGGCAGATTAGCCAAGGGAGGTGCCTGGAAGACTGGAACAGGCGGAGGATTCACCTCTATGAAAGCTATGGGGGCATTATTGAACCTTACCTTCTTGGGTGCAGGAGTCACCTGCACAGGGACTAAGAACAGGCAAGGAGGCTGGGGCTTCAATCTCAATCAGAGCTCTCGTTACCCGATCAGCAGAAAAGGAAGCATTAGCAAAAACAGCTGGAGGAGTGGACATTTCAGTACCTTCCAGAGCCCTATCAAGAGCAGTAGGAGCCAAGGTGCTGTCATCGCCCTCTGAATCAGTCTCCTCCAACTCCTCCTCAGTGGGGATGGCAAAGTCAAAGTTGAGGTCTGGATAGGCCTTCTCCGCTTTGTGCTGAAAAGCCAGTCAGCCTGAGGCCCACTTGGTGGTGACATCATCCTTTTGCTCGGCTATTATGTCACCCCTCTTCCTAACAGTTGTCTTCTATACCTCGAGCTCACTACATAAGGTCTCAGTCACCTTAGCCAGGGTAACATACTCTTTTTAAGGCCCTCGAGGGAACTTCAAGCATCAAAGGCTTCCTGGCTAGCTTTGGTCTAGGCATTAGTTTTGAGTAGCAGCTCTTCCTTGGTCATCCTCAGCTAATCCCTGGCCTTCTTCTCTCTTTCCTCAGCCCAATCCTTAGCTGCTTGAAGGCCTTCAAGGTCAGAGGCCTGCTTCTCCATTTGCTCCTCGAGCTCTTGCACTTGAGCTCTGAGGCTCTCATTGTCAAAGATCAGCTTAGCAACCTTGAACTCGTATGCCTTCAATGCCTTGGTAGAGTCCTCTGAAGATCGGACCCTATCCCCTCAAGTTCTTCAAATGTAGAGCCATTTGGGGGTAGAAAAGAAAACGAGTACAGATCAGCACAAGTCAACCGCACCGAACTAAGAGGGAGAGTAAAAACACTAATAGTAGCTGCTCCTTGGAGAGCCGAATAGAAAGAGGCCTCGGGGTGCAGGGTAGAGGCCCTCTGAATATTGAATTCAAGAAGAATGGATAAAATGGCCTCAGCAACAAACTCAGCGTTGTCAAAGAAGGAGTCTTCATCAGTTTCCCGATCCTCTCTCTTTTCGACTTTAGGACTCCGAAGAGGCAGTTGGGATGGTCGTTCAGATAGTCTAGGAGGAGTGGAGTCTAGTTGAATTCCAGTAACCAGCCCCAAGGCTCCCTCAACATCAGAAGAGGTAGGGGAAGCCAGCCCTGGCTTAGAAGCCTTTTTTGGGAGCAAACAGGACCCCTTGAAGAAAGGAGGTGGCCGGGGATTGAGATGAGGGAGTTTGTCCTTCTTTGCTCAAGGCAGGAGAATAAGGCACTCCCAGCTTTTGCACCTTTGCTTTGTCAACAAGGCTGCATGCAGAGCTCTTCTTGACCTTTCGTTTACCACTTTTCCTATTCTTCTTCAGTAGGTCAACCTTAGCCTGGAGTTCCTCAGGAGTGGATTTCATTATGGAAGATCTGAACCAAGCTAGTTAAACAAGAAAGAGGAAAAAGAAGGAAAGGCAAAAAAACAAACTCAAAAAGTGTTACCTTCTACGTCTTTAGGTCTAACAATAGAAATAGGGAATGGAGCTTCTATCGATACTGTAGGAGGACTAAATTCCTGTGTTACTAGAACTCAGGGCTTGATGAGTTCGGAGTACTTCTTTAGACTACACTTCTCCAACTTTCGCTTCACTTTCTCGTGCTCAGCACTAAGCTCAGGTCGAATGCCTGAAAGACAATACAAGGAGAGCAAAGGTCAAAAAGGCAACTCGATCAATTTTAAACCAGAACTCAGTCAGATCAAGCAAGGACTCACCTAAGTTATCAGGGGTGGACTAGGTTGTAGGGATACCAAGAGTTTCAATCCTATTAGCAGGGTTGTACTCCCAGTTGGTACCCCCAACGAAAAAGAATTATTTCTTCCAACCCTTATGGGAGCTCGGGAGGTGAGTAATAATCTACCTAGCTGTGGTTCGCTTGGAGATATACAGAAAACCCTCAGATGAGGTGAGTTTGACATTAAAGAGATCTACAAGCAAGGAAAGGCTGGGAACCCTGAGCTCATGTTTCTTAAATAAAACTAGAAGATCCACCAAAACACCCCAGAAGTTGGGGGAGAGTTGAGCAGGACAGACGTTGAAGTGTTGCAAAACACTCTTGATGAAGGAGTGCATAGGGAAACGAAAGTCATTCTCGAAAGCGGCCACGAAGAAGCAGACTTTCTTATGAACCTAGGCAACATATGGGGTGTATTTATCTAGACACCAGGAGGAAAACCGTAACGACCACGAAAACTTTTCATAAAAGAAGGGTCAACTTCACTAGGTCCTACGAGCTCAGCATGCCTAAAGACAACTCCTGTGCCCACTGCGCTATTAGAGACTCCTACCCCACTCACCTTGCCCTTACCTTTGTTAGGATTAGGGGGCACAAAAGAAGACGAGAGGGGAGGTTCCTCATTCTCCTCGGCATCGACAGCATCAACGCTAGAGAAATTATCGATTTTCTTGCCCACGTCCCCTAAATCAGTATCCTCATCGGTAGACCTTTCTTTCGAGAGAGAAACAGAGGAACGAGTAGCTCTAAAAGGGGTAGACATGATTGGACAGGAGAAAGGTAAATTGAAAAAATGGTAGAGGTGAGGGATACTAGTAAGGCACTCCCGGATAACCCTAGGGTCAATACAGTAGCTTCCAACAACGAGAATTCGCACGATAGGGCCCCAATCCACGAAGTGGGGAAGAAGAGACAAGCAGCAATTTCGGTTCCAGAGATAAAAGAGCCGAAAAGCCCAAAAATGCAATGACCACCTCGAACTCGAGGGATCCAGGACGTGAAAAGATGAAAGAGGGGGCAAAAGAGGCATACCTAGTTAGGAAAGAGCAACATCCTAGAGCGAGATCGGAGAAAGAAGGCAATGCAAGTCTTCAAATCGAACCCAGAAAACTCAATCTTGAGTAAAGAATTGGAGAACTTCAAACCAGAAAGGCAAGAGATCGCAAGGAGGGAAAGACGACAAAGAAACCAAACAGTGGAAAAGGGCGGCTCTGAGGGAGTATTTAAAGCTTGAGAGATATGGGCTGAAGCGTGGGCGGGAACCGAGAAGGCCATGATTGCTAAAAACCGTCCAAAAGGCATCTATCACGTGCAAGCCAAGGACAGCCACGTGCAAGCCCAACTTGGTTTAAAAACAGCTCAACCCCTGCCCAAGCTAGCTTGAACCAGGGGCTGGGGGGGCAACTGATGATACCTCAAATAAGCTATAAGAGTGAGCTCAGGAAATGAGGTCAGCTCAGGAGGTCAGGAATGATACGAGGAGCTCAGAAGTCCAGAGCTAGAGTTCTCCCCTAGGGAGAGGATATCGGAACTGACCAGGGGACAGCTGGATAACTGCGAAAATTAGGCTCCAAGCATGAAACTCTCAACCAACCAAGATCCTCTCCTAAAATCAAGGAGAATCCCACTAATGGCAGGCAAAGATCTCGACTGAGATCCTACAGAATAGGGAGTAGTTTTATAAATACTATGTAACGCCACTATAGAAGGGTGGAGGAAAAAGAAAAAGCCTAATTACATGACACACGATATTGAAATACATTGGAGTAGTAAAAAGAGGAGGGGGAGCAAAAGCCTCAATTAAAGAGTGGACTAGCCGAGCTCCTGAGCCGGTAAACCACTATATTTTCACTGCGTGCATCCCTTTAATCCGTACATTGTTTCACAGCAGCAACACTTACCAGCCCTATAGCTCTGACCCACATTCATCACATGACACCTGCACCTTTTGCTCATCCACGTTGATTTACACCATCATCACTAAAGACCAAGCGAAGCCCAAGATCAACTATAAATAAGAAGCATAACCCTTAGCAGAATAGACACAAGCAATTGTAGCCTAATCCAATACTCTATGTAATTCTCTCCTTTATTTTTTTTTCTAGGAGCAAGAGACTCCTTTGAGAGTGCATTAGTCGACCTCACGAGCTAATGAACCACTATAAACTCCATGTATGTTAACCCCTTTCCTTTGTCCAAATCTTAGGAACCTAGGAGTTCCGACTGAGTTATTTCTTACCCATCGATTTCTTATCTCTGCTCTATCGTACTACAAACATCATCAACTACTTTTCTTTAAAAAAATTCATGTACAACCAAAAAAAAAAAATTTGGTGAAAAATTTTTGAATTGTTTTTTAATAAATATTTAGCAAATGATTTGGTGGATTTGCAAATAGTTTTTGTTCACAACTTTGGATTCATAAGTTTTTATTTTTGGCCATCCAACCTGTGCTATCTCTGTGTATATGTATGTATACATATTTTATCACAACCTATTGAGATCTATTTTTACTTAGACAAAGTGGATAATTTACTTGAATGGGGACAAAATGGGTATTTCACAAATTAATTTTGTTCACATTATCATAGCCAAGTTTGCCCACCAACGCTGCATTAATTGAAGGGTGAATTGGTTACAAGTTGTCACTTTCAAAGGGGTGCAGTGTAATTCTAAGAACAACAATTGGTTCAGTGAAGTTTTCAGAAATTAAGAGGGTGTCATTGTAATTTACCCTTTTTTTATTTAACCTATCAAACAGGCCATTAGTGTCTACTTTGTACTTTTTCAGTAATTTGATTGTGTTTGGAGCTGTGCAGTTGTATTTTTGTACGGATATTAACTATTACCTTTATTTTATTTTATACCTTAATTATAAAAATTTTCATATTACATTCTATAGTTTCAATTTTATTTCATATTAATCCAATAGATAACAACAAACTTAAAAATCTTTCAAATGAGAGAGAAAAACCTCAAAGAGTTTCCTGCCAAGTGTCTAAAATCACTTTATTCTATCTTTTTTGCAACCAAATGATTGTTGGACAAAGTTGAGTTTTTTTTTTTTTTTACCTACACATGTACAATTGACAATTTTTTATTAACAGTATAGATCACTTACATGTGTATTTACAGTAAAAAAATTGACAATTATTATTTATTGAAATGATATGAAATAAAATTAATATTTTATGATGTAATGTGAGAAATTTTATAATCGAGAGTGTAATGTAAAATAAAGGTAATAGTTCAAGGGGTAAAGTGTAATTTACCCAAAAAAAAAAAACTTTTTGGAACCATATACTGATATACACTCCTGGTATTAGATTTGAATCTCAAACGTCCTCTCAATGAAGACTACCATTCGATTGTGGGACCCACGACTTCAATAATACAGTCTATGACTCTATTTAATGCTACCCATCACTCTTCGAGTTGCAATCAGTATAGTATTATATGAGACTAATTAGAATTATGCTTGTTATGTTCTGGTCTTTCTTTATTCCCTAGCTAAACCATTAAATAATAGACAACTTGTCTTTATAGATTACCTAATCCCAACCATGAAATAAAAATATAAATAATTAGACAACTTGTCATTCTAGATTACTCAAATCAAACCATGGTTAGTTAGATTGCGGTCTTTCTAGTTTACCCAAATCAAAGATAAGAGACCAACTAATATGAATATATAATTAGTCACATTAATAAGTCATTTTGCCGTGGCAAGCCTGTTTAATTAATTTTTTGTGAAAAAAATGTATAATTTTTGCATTTGAAGGTTCCTTGATCTTGTATCATATAAATTGGTGTAGAATTAAATAATTTATAATTTAGTTTGTTTTATATAGATCAAAAAGGTTATTAATATATGTCCACATATCTGTAATAGAGATCGATGAGAGAAAAAAAGATTATAATTATATGGTTTTTGATGCAAAACTAATATAAGCACGATGAGGAGTATTTATGGGTCATTAAATTGATTCTATTTATTTAACAAATCACCGGTTTGTCTACTCTAAAATCCGAATCATTTACCAACCAGACGACTACAATAGGGAAGGAAGGAAGACCTTCATGAAAATAAAATCTCTCTACATTCGTGGATAATAGCAAGACGAATATAGAAGAGGATAGAGAAGTTATATTTTGTGTTCCAACCAAGGGAAGCAAGCAAGCCAAGAAATGATGGACGTGGTGGTGAATTATGTGGTCACTAAATTCTAAGAGACAGCTTCTGATGAAATACAGTTCCAATTGGGGATCAACGATGAGATTGATCGTCTCCAATCTCTCCTTCAATTCATGCAAGCTGCGGAGAAGCAAAACATGGAGAACCCAGTGTCTGAGGTGTGGGAGGAACAACTCAGAGACACTGCATCCGCCATTGAAGACCTGGTCGATGAGTTTCTGCTTGATATGAAGCTTGCAGAGTCCGACAAACCCAGCAACTTGTGCAACATCAAGTCCTACGTTGGCTTCGTTGTTTGCTGCTTCAAGCAAGCATTTCTGCGGTATCAGTTACATCGGCAGCTGAATAGCATAAACAAAAAGTTTGATCTTCTAACTGAAGGAAAATCGAAGTTTCAAATAAACAGCACACATCAAGCACGGGTAAAAGATGAGAGAGACCCAGGACGAGCCTCCCCTTACTACGAGGATTCCTATGTTGTAGGAATTGATGAACGTGTTGAGAACCTTAAAAATCTTGTTGAGCAGTCCAAAGAGCAGATGATGGTGATCACAGTGTGTGGGCCGGGTGGCTCCGGCAAAACAACTCTTGTCAAACGTTTGTACAGCAACATTCAAAAAGAGAAGAGCATAGAATGCTACGCTTGGGTTTTTGTGACTCAGACCTTCAAATTTGAAGCTGCTTTAAGGCAAATGGCCCAAGGGCTTTACCGCAGTGTGGGAGATAAACCTCCAGGAGACATTGACAACATGGTAGTTGATCGGCTTCGAGAGCTGCTCATCAACTTCTTGCAGGACAGAAGGTACGTTCTTATCCTCGATGATGTCTGGGATCGAGAGGTCTTGGAAAAAATCCAAACAGTACTTCCATCAAACAGTAGGTCTGCAATTATCATCACCACCCGTGACGAAACTGTAGATTCTAAATCTCTTCTAGAGGGTAGATGCCTTTTCAAGGTTGATCCTCTAGATCATACAATGGCTTGGGATCTCTTCTGCAAAGTGGCTTTTCGGGGTGCCGAGCCCAAAGGACGGTGACCTAGTTACTTGCATGACGTCGGGCAACAGCTTGTCCATAGATGCCAAGGCTTACCTCTGGCGATTCTGACCCTTGCTCAATTGATGTCAACCAAGGGCCACAATCCCAGAGAATGGAATGATATTCTCCAGAGCCTTAGTTCAAAATTGGAGGATGTCAATCAGATCCTGCTACTGAGTTATAATTGTTTACCCACTCACCTCAAATTCTGTTTTTTGTACTGTGCAATGCTTCCCAAAAATCGCCGGATTAAGATTAACAATCTAATACGATTATTGGTTGCTGAGGGCTTTGTCACGGAGATCCCTGGCCAAACACTTGAAGCCGTTGCTAAGGAATACTTCTTTGAGCTAAGCTATAGAAGCTTGTTGCATATAATCACTCATCGGATCAGTAGGGAGCCTGATTACTACCAAATGCATGACCTTTTACGTGATGTTGCTTTTCATGTTATTGGCAAGGGGAATTTTGGGGTGATATTTTCGGACCAGATCTGTGAATTGGAATCGAAATCGAAATCACGCCGTTTGGTCATTTATGAAACTACACCCTATACTGAATTAGACATGAGCAACTGGAAGTTGCGATCTCTTCATGTATTTCGTGCTAATTCATTTAACTTTTCTCAGTCTCAAATGTTACAGAGCATCAAATTGTTGAGGGTCCTGCATTTGGAAAATGTTTCCATTGAGAGTTTACCCGATGAAATGGGGAATCTGATTCAATTGAGGTTTTTGGGTTTGAAGTGTACAAACATCAGCAAGCTTCCTACTTCTTTGAGAAAATTATGCCATCTTCAAACCCTGGATATTCGAGGTACACAAGTGGACTCTTTGCCTGATGGGATAGCAGAGCTTCAGCAATTGAGGCATCTCATTTGCAGCACTAATGTTAGAGTTTCAAATTTAACTTTCCAATCTACTCAACTTCAAACGCTCAGTGGCATGAGTTTGAATTGTAGTCAGGCAAGAGAACTGGGTCAGTTGACACAGCTAAGGAAATTGAAAGTATCCGTCATTGAGGTAAAGGATTGTAGTGAACTTTGTGCTTCTATTGAAAAGTTGCCTAACCTTGAGTCACTGACTGTGCGAACAACTTGGAATTCGGAGTTCCACCGACCAGGCGGGCTGGAGAGACTGTTGGCTCCACGTTTTCTCGAGAAGCTAGTATTAAAGGGAATGCTCAAGACGACTGCCAGATTTTTTAGACACTCATAGCTGTCTCCGACATATCAAATTAATCGATTGCTACTTACGGAATGATGCTTTTATCACTTTAGGGTGTCTACCAAATCTGATCAGTCTCACTCTTCATATGGCTTATAGGGGAGATAAAATAGTTTGTGGCCCTGGTAGCTTCCCAAAGTTGAAGTTTTTGACGATCTATGATGCTCGTGATGTGAGGGGATGGGATCATAGTGAAGGAGCGATGAAATGCCTCGAGACACTCAACATTCGTCGTTGCAAGGGTCTAACAATGCTTCCAGACGTTTTGGCTCATCTCAGAGCTCTGCAAGAAGTGAATTTATATGAAATGCCTGAGGAATTGTTGGCGGAGATGAATGCTGGAGGATCAAAAAATTGTAAAGTCCAGCACATTCCACACCTGAGCTGGCATTTCAAGTTATTGCAACATTCCGAAAATGCTCATCAAAGTTGGACGGCGAGCTCTCCCAAGGGCTTTTATAGAACCCTCCAACCACGAATTGTCCCTTTTTGAACTGTCAACCACCAATTCTAAACATCTAACGCTCCATTCTAAGCATCTTCACCCGTTTGGGAAGGGTCTCTCTGTGGAGGTTCAGGTCCTCCGACTTCTTAGTTTTGGTACTTGCTCCTAACGAGTACCTCTTCATTTGGGTGGAGCTTCAAGAGAAAGAAATTTAAATCTTTGTTGGTGTGCTTCAGTTAAGTGGCTAGATATGTGCTTCAGTAAGTGGCTAGAGATAGTCACGACCTTGCTGCTAGTTGGGCTTATTGATCCATCACTTATTTTTTAAAATTTTATATATCCTTTTGTAAGCCTTAGTCTCTTGGATTGTAGAAGTTAACTATTTTTATAGACTAGATTGTTTTGCCTTGAGCACTTTACCTTTGTGAGCATACTCTGTGTGCTCCTTTGAATGTTTTGAACTTTAATGTAAAATTTATAGTTTTCGGATTAATAAATATATTTACCTTCCAAAACAAAGAAAATGTGTTTGACAAATGACACATTGATTAGTGATGGGACACTTCTGAGAGAGGATAGGATTCTAACACGTGTCCTCGGCACCTCCTATTCTCTGGTATAGCCACGCGTCCTCGGCATCGAGGGCACCTCCTGTTCTATGATAAAGACACGTGTCCTCGGCACTGAGGACACCTTCTGTTCTCTGGTCCAGCCATGTGTCCTTTACGTGATTAGATTTCGAGCACTTTTCTTGGACACATCACCTCGGCTCCTGGAGGAATTATTGGCGATTACGGCCAATCAATCTCAGATTTAGACTATGAATCATTGGTTTGCATTTCCAACGCAGTCAAAATGATAGAAGGAACAAGATCAGCAGCCAAAGAGAGTTAGGCACGTAGCATAATGTGCAGAATTGGGGATAAATTGACAAAAATACCCCTTCTCACATGCAATCCTTCCAGAGAAGCATTAATAACCCCTCAGAAGGATGAGAAGTCCATGATGGCTTGGGAAGCCGAGAAGAAAGAGTATTAAATGCTCGGGAGCCCGAGTAATTAATGACAAGGCCTCCCCCACGCAAAATGGGAGATGCACTATCCAATGACTAGAACAATGGGGAGCCTCCTTTTGAGATGACCCATCTGTCAGTAATGATGAGTCCATGACGGTATAAATAGTTACAAAAATCTGAAGACAAAGATACGCAAATTCACTCAAGAATACAACACAGTGCTTTTCCTTCCCCTCTCTCACATTCCCCTTTCTCACAGAAACTAACTTAACAGTCGGAGGGAATAGGCCGAAAAATACTTCGGCACCCTTTTAACCCATCTTTTGTGTGCAAGGAATTGCCTTCGGCTCGTCGAGAGTCGATCGGACAGCCTTGAAAGTAACTCATCACCACCCCTTAGGCTGCATCTGCATGCTACGGGAGAATAGGTTTCATCATAATCTATTCCTTCCTTTTGTGTGTATCCCTTGACCACTTGTCTAACTTTCTATTTATCTAAAGATCCATCCAATTTAAATTTCTTTTTAAGGATCCATTTATACCCTATTGCTTTTCTATCTATTGGCAAATCAACCAACTCTCAAACTTTGTGTTTCTCTATAGATTCTATTTCTTCTTTAATTGTTTCTCTCCATTTTAAATTATCAATTGAATTCATAGCATCATTAAAATTAACAAGATCATTTGAAATTTCTTCACAATTGAATGCATAATAATCTTTTAAGTAGCTAGGTTCATTTTTTCCCTTTATATTATAGTTAAAATATCCTTAGGTGGAGGCTCTTTTATTATTTGCTCTTGTGGTTATATATTTTCATTTTCCTTAGTAATTTCAGAATGCATAATAATCTTTTAAGTAGCTAAGTGCATTTTTTTCCCTTTATATTCTAGTTAAAATATCCTTAGGTGGAGGCTCTTTTATTATTTGCTCTTGTGGTTATATATTTTTATTTTCCTTAGTAATTTCAAATAGTTTAACCATTTTCTCAATTTTACCTAAGTCAACTTCAAAGAAAAATGCATCTCTGTTTTCAATGACTTCCATTGATCCATAATTATGGTGAATTACAAATCTATAGCCAATAGAATTTTCATAATATCCAATAGAAGTACATTTTATTGATTTATGATCTAATTTTCCTGTATTAGGTCCTAAAATATTAACTTGAGCCAAACTATCCCAAACTTTTAAGTGAGAAAGACTTGGTTTTATAACCCTCCAAATTTTATATGGTGTCATTCCTATTGTTTTAGAGAGTACTTTATTAAGAATATAAATGGCGACAGAAATACCCTCACCTCAAAATGTTGTGCTTAAGTGTGCATGACTAAGTATAGTTCTAACCATGTCAAGAAATGTTCTAGTCTCCTTTCGGCTACACCGTTTTGTTGAGGTGTATAATAACTTGTTAGTTGATGTATTATTCCATTTTCTTTACAAAAAGATTCAAAAAAGTGTAAAAAGATTCAAAGGTAATATAGATATTAAAATGTAAAAAGTTGATGATGTAATCACTTTTTTAGCATTGTCAATAATAATGCTAACCATAGGAGTACTTTTTGAAATGGTAGTTAAACAGTAAGGGATATCAATATAATTCAACAAGACCTACAAGTTTGAAGGTGCTTTTAAGGCAAATGGTGCAAGGGTTTTACAAGAGTGTTGGTAATGAAATTCCAAAATACATCGACCACAAGGAGGCAGCTGCTCAACTTCTTGCAATACAGAAGGGATTCAAAGGTCTTGAACAATACAGACAGTAATTCCATCAAACAGTAGGTTTGCAATTACTATCACTACGCGTGACGAAACTGCAGCTTCTCGATCAGGTTTGGGGGAAGCATACTGTCAGGGTTGATGCATTAAATCTCGAAATGGCTTGGAATCTATTCTGCTAAGTGACTTTTCAGAATTACAACCCGGAAGGGTGCGGTCCTGGTTACTTGAAAGAGGCAAGGAAAAAACTTGTTGACACATGCCAAGGTTTGTTTCTTAATAGTTGTGGCAATAGCCCAATTGATGTCAACCAAGGGTGACATTCCAAGAGAACGGAATAAGGTTCTTTAAAGCCTTAGTTCAGAATTAGAGGATGTGAATCAAATCCTGTTATTGAGTTATAACCATCTACCCACTCACCTCAAATTATGTTTCCTGTATTTGTGCAATGCTCCCAAATGCCTCCAATTTCAATGCCCTTTGACGAGCCCAGATTTAACTAGGTCAAGCCCAATTAATGAGCTAGACCCAAATCAGCTACAAGACGGGTCAAGTGCAATTCATGGATTCGACCAAGTCTAGAGTTAAGAAATTCA